TACGTAACAATATAGGTATACAGTATGCGTGTAATTTTCTCTATTTTCAGATAACGTACGAGACTGTCTTTAATGTTCTCTTATTTTCTCTTATTTTCTCTCTATGTTCTATTTCTCTGTCTATGTGTTCTTTTTTTTTTTTAAGCGTAGGCCGGACTAACCCGTCTCTCTCTTTCTTTATTTCTTCTTCTCCCTCTCCAACTTATTCTTCCTCCATTTGCTCTAACGTTTGATTCATCCTCCGTAACACGAATCCTCGAACCAGAGACCCGTTGCGTAAAAATCTCCATTCTGACTAGATTTATGGTAAATGCACGTACGCCGACAAAGCCTTCAAGTACTGTCCTTTTGTCTTACTCTCTCTCTCTCTCTCTCTCTCTCTCTGTCTTCCGCTGTCTTTCTTTCATCCTTCTTTTTTGAACGGTTTTGAACGATTAGTATTCCCTCAGTCTATTTGTTGAACGCGGACTCGTTCGCTTACAGCAGAAGTCGGAAGGTAGCATATTCTTCCCTCTGATGGTACTTGAAGAGAGATCTCTCTCATCTTCGACATCAGGCTTCGTACAGCTCCTCCACAGCGGGGAAGGTGGTGCTGCTTTCTCCCCTTCTTCAAGTACGATAACGAACTGCCTCGACATTAACGGCATTCTCCGCATCCGTTGATCGTGACGCGATAATCAATGCGCGTGCATGATTAGAGATCAACGATGTCGTCAGGTACCTTTTTTCTCCCGTGTTTTGCATCGAGACGGTTTCTATCGCGTCGCAGTAGACGGGCCGAAGAAGAAAATATTCGACAGGGCGGGAACGAAAAATGTGATGAAAAAACGCGCCGACAGACGACGACGACATAAGCGGACGAGCGTGTAAAAACGCGCGCGCGCAGCTAATTGATAACCTCCGTACGGCCGTGATGAGGACATCGGGGCGCTCTCGAACGAATCAATACACGGAGAAATAGTATCGACACGCTCTCGACGGGACGGTCAATACCTCCTTAGCACTTACTTAGAATAGTCTACGAATCGCATCATGGATTAATTATTGCTGTGCAAGCGAAAGCCGTGAATGACGAGATCGGCCGCGCGCGGCTTCGGCGCGACCGTGATGACGATCTACGCTCCGTGCGAGAAATCCCCACGTGTCCGGCGAGCCAAACTGGCCGCCGGCGCCTCCGGGCGTAGAATCGTGAGATCCGGTAACAATCGAGCACTCGGCCCCGCGCGACGTCCCCGAACACTAAACGCGATTTGTTCCCTTGCGAATTCACACTGAGACCCTCGCCGTGCACCTGGTCTTCGAGATCGAGGTGTGCGCGGATTATAACAATAACCGGATCCGATTCACCGCGACGGACACGTGTCCGGGGGGACTACTCTCGCAGACGCGGAAGCTGCGTAAGCGACGATCATTGTTTTGCACCTTAAGTACCTATCTATATATATACATACGTACATACATACATACATGCATATATGTGTATGTATATACATGTATATAAGTCAGTTCTCCGTGTACTGCCAACGTCGCGCGTGCATTTTGATATAATACTTAATACCTTAAAATCTAAGAATCGTGCCTGACGAATACCGCTCGGAACGTGATTTTCACCCCTCCCTCTCGTCGACACCCCCAGCCAACGGGCCCGATCGAGGGCGCTCGATCCCGCGCTTCGAGTGCTGCACAGGAAGTACGCGCTGGCCGGTCGCGGGCTCGCCGATTGGAGAGGGAAGAGAGCGAAAACGAAAAGCGAGGACGATTCCGCTCACACGCTCTACGTATGTTTTTCTCTCCCTCTCTCGCGAGGCCTAAGATCTAAGGGAGGACATAAAAATGGCTTTACGTTTATGACGTTACAACAACAACGACGACGATCACGACATCCAGTTGCTGGTGCGCGCCGGGTCGCGCCGTCGACGAGCCACCCTCTCGCCCTCTTCGCGCTACATGAGGCTGAGATACAAACTCGTGGGAGCAAAGAGACGTTTGTGAAACGCGGCAGGGAGAGGCTGCTCGCCGCTGGTGGACGCGCCGAAGAGATTCCTATGAGGTACGATTTTCGTTCACGTCTCGATTCACAGTTATAATCGCTACGGTTAAATACTAAAATTGTTTGTTTCTCTCTCTCTCTCTCTCTCGCTCTCTTTACACGCTATGTCGTTTTTACCACATCTCCTTCCTTGTGTCTCTATCTACTAGCTAGATTATTAGAATCATTAGAATCAACGATGACGACGACTCCGCGCGTTCGCGTCGAAGATTCAAGACCTGTGTTCGAAGTAGCGAGTGTGGGGGGGCGGGAATGGGCGGGGAAAAGGGGACGCTAATGATGTCACGGTTCTCGTGAGATGTAACGATTCCTTCTCACGATTTTGCGCGATCCGCGACGATCGCGAAGAGAAGATGCGAGTCACGCGGGACGCGCGTGCCGGATTGTATCTTTGGTGCAAACTGGACGAGGCGCGCTTCGACGACGCGGGTCACCGAAAGTCGTGTAATATTAGCGTATCTCACGTCCCTCCGTGTCTCTCCCTCTCTCTGTTTCTTTCTTATATCTCACGGTGCGTCCCTTTCTCCCCCCTTCTCGGGCCGAATCTACAAGGTTCTAGTCAGAGAGTTTGGTGTTGACGTCCACTTTGATAAGTTAACTACGGTCAACGGCCACGTGCTGAAAAGTCGCTAACAAAATATTATTACTATTACCACTTAGGTCTAAGGAGCTTACAGCTTCGGCTATGGCTTAAGTACACAAGTGGATACTTGGTGAAACCTCCTTAGCAGAGACACCTAATTAGAGACAATATGAAGGATTACGGAACCGTCAGAGGTGCGCTCGAAAATCGTTCGGTCGGAGAATTTCCCTTGCCAACTTTTTCCCCCTCTTTCTCTCTCTCTCTCTCTCTCTCTCTCTGTACGCTCTCAGTTAATTTGATATCTATGCGCAAATATAGATGTGTAGCACCCGTTAATTAAGTGTAACACGACGGCCACACACATACTGTACAACCTCGCGCACCTTTACTTAATGAAAATCGCCGTAAGAGAGAGTCTTGCCGCGAATCGCGTGCAAACTTACACGTATGTATTTTTATGTATGTATGTATGTATGTGTATATATGTATATATATATATATATATATATATATACACACTCTAGTCGCGTCAATACCTTAATTAAATTGCACATCGCCGCTGCTTCCGTGTGCACGTTCCTTATTAAAATAAATTAAACGCGTACGCGTGCGTACACGCGCACACGTGTATGTGGATATAATAATATATCTTTGTGATGTTTTCTCTTTGATTAGGAGGTCCACCAGCGGACTCTCGGTCGCATCTTTGCGTCTAATGGTCTCACGGAACTCTTCTACTTTTAAGAATGAAATCAGCGCGCGCCTGCCTGATTTAGACCATATCCTGCTCGATCTGCATCACGCGAGCGCGATTATTTTGTGTATACGTGTGTGTCTGTTTATATGCGTGAGTCTCTTTTTTTCCCTTTTTACTTATAGATCCCTATTCGGAGAAACGCTGCGAGATGCTCCTCTGTGTAAAGCTCGACGAAAAAAATTTCGATCCCGCCCGAGGAGGACGCCGAATAGCCGGTCTCAGCCAGTCGGCTCTTCCCCTCGGCAAACGAGAATCGACTTTTCGATTTTTCCTATGGTTGCGGTAGTGGTAGTGGTGGTGTTTGGGCTATATTCTATGATAAAGGCTTACACATAGACAACATTAATGAATGTGTCCGCTGGAATTACTTAAAATTTAAGCCCAGCTTACGTTCAGTCTTCATCACTAATTTCACGAATTGTCACTACGTTTTAAGTAGAGAACTAAACTCGACTTAGTTTTTAAGTAATATACGGTGAAACTTAGTTATCCCCTCCCCTCGTGGCCTTCCCTCCCTTCGCCTATTCGCGAATTAACGACCGATACGACGGAAAGGAATCCGATTATCTCGTTAACGAAGACCTTCTTCGACAACGACGTTCGGCAAAAAAAAAAAGAAAAAAAAAATACGTTGCAAGCCGCCATAACGCTCGTCTAAAAGAACCGTGAATTTGCGTGTGTACGAGTTCGCGTCGTACCCCTATTACTTAAACGCAATACTGAATATCGTCAGATCGAAACTCAATCGAGAGCTCGCGTAATACTTGAGGAGATGAACGGAATCATTCGCTCTGTGCGTATGCAATCTTTGTATATAAAATCATTGGGTAAAAAACGCTCGTTAAAATACTCTCTAATGGAGGAGAAAAAAAGAGAAGTAGAAGTAAAGTAGAAAGTCGAAGGTAACGACAAGAAGTGCGTGAAGAAGCCGGTGAAGACCGGTATACATCTTGCCGAATTTGCTCGATATCTTTCCCTCTTTCTCTCTTATATCTTACGTAAATCTATATTCCCGTTTTGCGCGACTCTAATAACGTATTATATATAATTTTAGGTATATATCACTTCAAAGTGAAATATTACCGATCGCCCAGCGATCGTTCATACCGTTTCTTCCGCGCGAGAGCCCGCCACTCTGCTCCTTCGTTTGTACTACCTCATTATCGTGAACCCTCTTTCCCCCCCGGGTGATTGCATATTCCAGCAATTCGTCTCGGGAGATCGTAAAAACCACCGCTCGCTCGCTATTGCTGTCTGCCCCCTCTCCCCGGGCAACACCGACGACTCTGGCTTCTCGCGAAAAATGATAGCAAAGAATCCGCATCAATGAGATCCGCACCAATAACATCAAAGAATCGCAACTTTTCTCCCGGTCAGTAGCTCGCGTAAAGGACGCGTCCCTTCCTAAATCCTCCGTGCCACGTCGACGCCGCGTTTTCACGACGGTAAAAAACATTCCCCGCGAAAACGCAAATTCTCGAGTAAACGAAACCTCTGGTATTCCTGCACGGCTGGGGGATGGTGTTCCGAATTGTGTCAGTGTGTTTCGGATCACCGGCGATATATGCCCTCGTGTAAGTCGGAAACTTCCATCTGCAATGGACAAAATCATCTCCGAATCGGACGTAACGGCCAAAGGAGACCTCGAGCAGCTTCGCGAACGCCGATCTTTCCAGCTTCGCGACTTAGCGCATTCGCCACCTTGTTAAGCGAGAAGCATTAGGACGACATTAATTTGGTTTCCAATTCCCTCTTCAGTGGTTATTCATCTCTTATTGCGCTGCAAACCTGGCTGGATTAAAGTCCTTGTTGACCATGGAGAAACCACGAAACTCCTCTTGGTTAATGTAGTTCACGTCCTCCGTTTCTTCCGGCGTTAACACGGGGTCCTCCTTGGTGAATTCCGTGTCGAAGTTCATAGCGTCCTTCTCGTTTTTCTGAAAGTCCCGAGGGAGAAAAATCGCGTGTTAGAGGTACAATCGTAATCGTTACCTGCAGATCCGATTCGCTCGCTCGTTCAGCGACATCTACAATAAGTGTATGGTAAGCTTGAAGCCGTAAGAAACTGACCAATCTCAATCGATTATTCTTCGATTGATCCATTTCTTAAAGCTTGCTACGTCTATTGCAGACGCTTTGAATGACACGTTAAGGACCTGTCCGCTGAATAGCTGAATTATAACTTAATACTATGTTTCATGCCCTAAATCTTTATCTAAATCATCGTTTGTTCATTTTTTTATTTTACACAACAGTTTTTTGTCATCAACGACAAAACGGAATAGCTTTCTTAATTTAAGGCACAAGACAGTCACTGTACGTTACCTAAAGGCAAAGGACTTAGGACATGAAACAAAACGAAAGAGAGAAAGAACTCGGTACTAACAATTTTAGGTCTAATTGGTGGCTTTAACCTGCGCGCCTCGAGCGCCTCCCAGTCCATGTGTTGGAAAAAGGGATGTATCTTTATGGCGTCCTCGCCGCCTTGAGATACGACGCAGCCTAATCGCTTGGCAGGATTTTTAGTCATGAAGCCTTTCAATATGGACACCGCTTCCTTGGTGATCCACACCGGGTAGAGCACGTCGTCCCGTAAGATCGACTCGAACAGCTCGTCCTCGTTCTCGGCCTCGAACGGCGGCTGTCCGGCCATCATCTCGTACATGAGAACACCGAGGGCCCACCAATCGACGCTAGCACCGTACTGTATTTCCTGAAGTATCTCGGGCGCGATGTAGTCCGGCGTGCCGCAGAACGTCGTCGTCGTAGTTTGGCCCTCGATTATGTTCTCCTTGCACATGCCGAAGTCCGCGAGTTTGCAATGTCCCTCTTGATCCAACAGTATGTTGTCCAACTTCAGGTCGCGGTATATCACGTGATTTTTGTGCAGAAACTGAAGCGCGAGCGTCACCTCCGCCGCGTAAAAGCGCGCCCTTGCCTCGTCGAATTTCCGAGCCTTCTGAATGTGGAACATCAAATCACCTGTAAGACGAGCAACGAAAGATGACGGGAATCCAGACGAGAGGGCAAAAATACACAATAGAATGCCTATATTTAACAAATTTAACGGCAGCTCAGGAAACAAGTGACTCTAGTGACCCATTTTGGACGACAGAGAATTTTTTTTAGCGACTGGTCAAGGAAAGGTGACAAAAGGTGGCTCAGCAAAAGTGGACGCTGCTTACTACGAAATACGGCGAGGCGGTACGCACCTCCGTTCACGTATTCCATGACGAAGAAAAGTCGGTCGGTCGTTTGGAAGCAACTGTGGATGGCCGTGAGGAAGGGATGCTTCGCCGCCAAGGCCAGGATCCGCTTCTCCGTCATCGTGCAGTCCACGTCGTCGTCTTGGAGGATCACGCTTTTCCTCAGGATCTTCACGGCGTAAACCTCGTCGGGGTTAGTCTTTCGTTCCACTAGCATCACTTTACCGAAACTGCCCTTACCCAGGACTTTGATAAAATTAAAATCATCTATACCGAACTTTCTCTGTTCACTGCCGTTCACCGGCACCGCGTTCTCATTGGCGTTGATTGGTGTTTCTAATGCCTTCTGGCCCGCCTGCAAATTGTCCGTGGCCAGCTCGTCCGCGACCGTGGACGCCGAGGCGCCTGCGGTTATTCTGTAGTTGATCTTCGGAGTTTTCACGTGCTTGTCCGCGGAGATATTCATCTGCCTGAGAATCTCGGCCATTGCCTTGGTATTGATGCCGCAGCTGTTCGGCACATTCTTCTGGCAACGCTTGTGAACGTTCATGTTGCAGGCTGCGCGAGACGAAATCAGAAGACGAGATTTATACAGCACGTTGATTCTTCGTCGCACTTTAGAACGAACAACAATCTCGGACGCGCTCATTCATTCACGCTCGACTCACCTTCGCATTGTAAACCCTGCTTGAATAAACCGTATAACAGGGATCCGCAGTGGTCACAAAACGTGAATCTCTTGTAGTTGTGCGGGCCGAACCGATGGGGCATGTCTATGCTGAAGCGCGGGCTCTCTGTGTCCTGACTCGACTGTAACGCAGTTGCTTTACCCTAAGTGGATAATTCGAGAAACGAGAAACCAAGAGAATAAGAGGAACAAAACGGCCCGACTTAACAAGTCGACAATAAAAAACGCGAATAAGAAGTTGAGAGAGAGAGAGAGAGAGAGAGAGAGAGAGAGATGCGAAACAAGGAGATCTCGCGTTTCCAATTTGCCCGTTCGAATGACCGGTCTATGAATGAAAAACCAGAAACAACGACAGCACACGACGGAAATACCGAAAGAAAAGGCTCGACGTACCACCGCGACATCGACGCGTAAGTCGATGCTGATTAAACGGTAAGAATCATATTATGCATATCGAGACACACGTGACTCATCATAGCCGGTGTATGTAAATTTCTCTCTTTCTAATACAATGCGGCAGAGAAAATTCGTTGGAACCTACCGCATCCTTCATTCCCGGGCACTTGGTTATCACCAACTTGTGGCATCTCTTGTGGACGACGCAGGTACACACTGAAACAGCGTCACGACAAATAACCCCTTTTGTAGAAACGCTCACTTGCGCGCGAGATGTCAATAGGTACTGCACGTCCAAAGCTGCTTGCATGCGTGATTAGACGCGCCCGAATTTATTTACAGTTTTATATATATATATATATATATATATATATACATATATATATATATATATATATCGCAAGCGAGGTCGCAAAAAGTCGCGGCAGCGGAAGCGATTCGGTGATCCCGCAAGAATGTACATAACACAGCGCTCTATCTATCTCCCTTCTTCCTCTTCCTCGACGGCACGTTTCGTGCGTGTTTTTCGTCGACTTTGCGCCGGCCCGCCGACGGAGCGACATGCGATCAAACGAAAAGACTCCTACTAGCGAGTCGGCATAACGTCAAAAAGCAAACAAAACGATCTAGAGAGGAGGAGGAGGCTCTACTGCTCCACCGCAGAGCGAGAACAGTCAGTGTCAAAGTCCTGCGACCTGTCGTGCCAATTAGTGCGCGGTATCGCTCGTGCCGCGAGTATCCGGATACTAGAACACAGGGGTAAGCGAGGGTTAGTGAGAGTGATCGAGAAAGCCCAAGAGTGTGAGAGAGAGTGTGAGAAAATGAGAGAGAGAGAGAGAGGTCGTGAGCGCCGGCCGAACGCCTTCTGCGACTTTGTACATCGCGCCCGAGCAGTGCACACGAGCGGGGATGCGCGGGGGGAGGGGTGGATTAACAGCGAAGCGTCAAAGGTGTCAATCTGCGGGCGTCGAGTGGTGGTGAACCGATCGAGAGAGCCTGATTCGAGCCGAGAATTCTCTCGTCGTCGTCGTCGTCGTGAGGAAAACTAATCGCACACGTGCACACGTACGCGCACACAACATACACACCCATACATACACACATATACACGCACACACATTCGTACGTAAGGGTGCGGCAAGCGGGTACATAATTATAATCTGTTAATAACGTGTATGTGTCTTCTCACCTTGACACTGATAGCCCTGCTTGCCCAAGCCCCTGAAATACAACAGACAAAACACGTCACATCGTATTCTCGTGATCCCTTCTAAGAAACACATACGCTTGCCATCTTCGACCGCGTTTCTAGTCTCGCATCTACGCATCTAGACTCCGGGGGACGGAAGGAAGGGCTTGAGGGACCGGTGGATATATGCGAGAAAGAGAGGAGTCACCGACCGTGTCATGCATATCGTGTGTACCTCTCCCCCATCATCGCTCGATCGATTAGCTTTTCGTTCATCGAGATTCGTGTTCTCATCGCCAACGCGCTCGAGCACGGTGTGCCCCCCCCTCCCCCTCCCGTGCTCTAACGCTCCAGCACCTCGGTGTATATAACACAAATCGGGATACACGGTGAACTCGGCGAGTCATACAGGGTGCGCGCGCGTGTGTGTATGTGTGTGTGCGCTCGGCAAATCCAAAGCGTGCGACCCGTTCGAGCAGGGGGTTAATTTAGACGCGGACAGGCGCGTGGAGGTACACACCCCGTGATACAAAGAGTAAACAGCGAAATCAAGCTCCCCGTTCCCACGAAAATGTGTATCCACGTGTGCGTTCGTGTTTCTTCTCTTCCTTTCTTATTTTCTTTTCTCAACAGTGAAACCAGCCATTCGCGAGAACTCAGTCCCGACTCAGTGCAAACCGCTGTTAATAACCACGTTGTTAACGTATGATCACACAGAATCGTCTCTCCCTGGACTATCGGTAGAGCGGAATACGAGGGAAAGATCGAGTATCCCAAAAACATGCACACCACCCTGATAGCGTAAACGTATCGTTACACCGGGTGGTAGCCGACAGACTCGCGCGATTCTCGCTGGTATCGCACCACGGAGACCAATGAATCGAAAGTGTACAGCAATTCAAAAGCATGCTCCTCGTGTGTTTCCCAGGTCACTTCGAGATAATACACGCATACTCGGGCCTTCGAGTAAGGTGGCGTCGAGTGAATTACTTGTGCAATTAAGAGACCTTTCAAGCGAGATGAGGGGATGCCATCAGCGACGACGTGCGCGCGTGTCAGGGCATACGTACCAGATGAATTCACGGCAGTGCGAGCAGAAGGTCGGCTGCCTCAGGAAGGTCGCCATGAATTTGTGCCCGTTCACCTGGTGGACCCTCCGTCGCATCGCATCTCGCCGGCGATTGAAGCCCTGCCTCTCCTTGAATTCCCGCCGTGGCTCCTTGCTGGCGGTGATGCTGCCGATGCCCCTGCCGCCGATGGCCTCACCATCGCCGCCCGTGCCGCAACTTGTCTGTCGGTCTGCGATAGCGGATTGGAATTACGTTCAATCTGACGCGACCGGTTTGCTCAACTTCACCTTCCTCCCTCTCGCAATTACCTTGGTCATTCCATTTCAAGTCTATCTTCACTCTCAGTTTCCCTTGAGGTTCCAGGTCAACCTGCAAGAGTTCACAACGTCAACAATCAGCTAGCAAAGGTGATGAGAAGATTCATTCATGTCGTTCACGAGATATAGAATGAATCGTTGAATCGTGTCATTCGGGAGATACAGAGTGTATTGCGAAATATCCTGACAATACTGACAGGAAGTGACAGAATGGACAGCGCTGACAGCTAATCGGATCTATATATGGAAAAAACAGTGCCGCTGAATCGATGGAATTCCCAACAGCAGGCATAATTGCGGTAAAGTATCCTTGATTCAACCGGGATCATCATTGAAGCTGATATTTTAATTATTAAAACAATGCACAGTAGTTCCAACGATATTTGCCACTAAGTCGAGAAGATTTACTCCGATCACACTGCTGTTGGGAATTTTACTCGATTCGACAGCATCTTTTCTCCATTGTAGCGTATGATTAAGTTATAAATTTACAGAGAACACAAATCGAAGCTTGGCCACGTATACCAACAGACACATCATTGGAATAGTCATATCAGATCACAATTCGCTAGTACAAAAGAGGAACCCACCCAGAAGTCGGTAGTCTTGCCGTTCCGGCTGACCAGCTCCTCGAACGGGATGCTGCAATTGGCAACGAAGTAATCCGGCGGCAGTGCCGAGTCGTGGAAGACGGTGAAGCCAAGCGTGACCGCGTCCTGCACCTCGTGGATGAAGCACTCGTTCCACACGGGATCGAAGGTCTTCGGCTTGGTGGACGAGCGGTACAGGTGGTTCTCGTCGACGTCCAGCTGCACGTACGGATCGAGTATAGGCTCGTCCTGCCAGAATTTCCGCTGCTTGTCGGTCGCGCGTAGCCCCACCGCCTCGCAGATCTCGATCTTCATCGTGCCCGTGAACATTGTGATCTTGGCGGAGATCGAGCGTGCGGGAGGCGAAGAGTTCGATCGACGGACGGCGTGATGAGACGAGCCTGCCGACCGACCGATCGACGAACTGTCACACTGTGACTGTCAAAGTGACACGGGAGCTCGGCGTGCGCACCGAGCCGACCAGGTTATCCGGAGTCCCCGAGAGTCGGACGACGATAATTCCCCAAGGCCGCCGAACCTCCGCACGTCACTTCGTTCCCTCTCTCTCTCTTTCTCGGGCAACGGCACTGACCACCGCAGCACGCTGAGGAGGCGCGGAAAATGAAGGGAAGCTCGGAACCACGATGCCTTTTCGCGTTCACTCACCGGGGGGACACCGATGAATTACGTCGTCGGCCGCGAACGTCGTTCCTCGTTCTCTCTCCGTCACTGTCACACCGCTGTCTCTCTCTCTCCTCTCCGACCAAGCGAGCGCGCTACACGGAGATCGCGCCTCTCTCGCTCTTTTTCTCTCTGACTCAGGAGACTCTCTCTCTCTCTCTCTTTCTGTCTCGTTCTTCTCCCTCGTCCTCGCTCCCTCCCCCGCCGCTTCTGCTCACTTCTGTCAAGTTTCCTCCCCGTCCTCCACCTCGTCGCCCTTTCCCTTTCCCTGTGCCTCCTCCGCCACGAGCACTGACGAACGTCGTGCAGTTATAAACACTCCGGGCGCTTGGCGTGCGCGCATAACAGGAACGAGCACGGTCTGCTCGCCGATTTCGTTGCACGCGGCTCCAGGCGACGAGACGGCGACCCGACGACGCTGCTCGCCGCGAGACGCGAGTACGAGGAAGCCTGCCCTCGTCCCCTCGCTGTCCTGACACCCATCAGGCTTCCTTCTCACCTTCTGACCCTTTTCTCGTCGGTGTCCCGTTAAAAAAACATGTAAGAACAACGCGCCACTCTCGGCCACACGCGACAATCCGTCGATCGAACGATCTCGCGGGATTGACCGGGCGACGAGGGTGATGTGAGAGATGCCCTGTTCCAAACCGCCCCGCACAGCCGACCCACATCGACCCTGAACGGACCCGAGAATGCTCGAGAACCGCTCGATTGGTCGTACGCGCTCCGCGCAAACGACGACGACTCACCCCGACAGCCGTGTCCTCGGCGCTCTTCGGGCGTTTTCGACGTCGTCTCGCGAGGGATTCTCGCCGCGTTCGACGCGCGACACCGATACCCAATAGGAGATGCTGCCCGTCTCCCTCGAGACGAGAATCAGGCTGAACTCTCGAGAAAGCGAACACTCGTCGTGCCTCGTCGAGCTATCGAGATCAGCCCGTTCAACTCGACGTGATTTCGAACGTCCTGCGGGTCGCCCGGCTCGCTCCACGCTGTTTTTTTCAAACCTCGTCTTCTTCGTTTCTTCTAAATGTACACAAACGTGGAAATAAAAAGGTTCGTTTTCCTCCAGTTATATTATAATGCTTGAAATTTATGTAATCATTGAGCAATGGCTGATATCTTCCACGGAATTCGAAGATAAACGTGAGCAATGTATTGTGTGTAGTAACACGGGAGAAATGTGCCGAAGGGAATTTAAAAATAAAATCTGCACCGTTTCAAATTGTCAATAATTTTTTACCTACTTTTCCCATTTACTTCAATAATTAAGTTAATTGTTTTCTTTGGTAATGGTTTATTTATTTCGGCGTCCCACAGTGACATCTTTAAGTGTGTTCGTTACAAATTTACGCATTTAAACATGTAAATACATTAAACTTTAAAACAAAATAAAGCGTATCTGAAACTAGAGACTCCAAGCTGTATAATTCTTTTTTAACCATCATGTTATCATTATTTTTGCTGAAGTTACAGCCCATTAAAGTTTGCCTAGTTTTTATGGCAGAATAAGAGGACGTTCGATTCGTCATTGTGTAGTACTACTTGAAAAAGGTAGAGTAACGTCTGACCCCATCGTTTAGTCATATCACGTGCCCAAATCTTCATTGAAGAATGTGGCGTCTCTTAGCGGAAACTTTGGAACTAATTTTCAGAAATAACGGGTCTAATGTTCTATGTAATCTAATGATATTTTTGTTAGACCCGTTATTTCTGAAAATTAGTTCCAAAGTTTCCGCTACGAGACGCCACATTTTTCAACGAAGATTCGGGCACGTGATATGACTAAACGATAAGGTTAGACGTGACTCTACCTTTTTCAAATAGTACTACACAATGACGAATCGGACGTCCTCTTATTCTGCCATAAAAACTAAGCAAACTTTAATGGGCTGTAACTTCGGCAAAGATGACACTATCGAGATGATATAAAAGTCATTTTACAGCTTGAAGCCTCTATTTTTTTATAATATTACGGTAATAACGTTGTCATTGAATTTCACCAAGTTATGTCGAGTTTAATGAGAAGTGACAATCGCTTAAACTTCAATCTCATTACAAATCTTTCGATTTAATTATTACACTAAAAACTTACATATATCAAAAATGCAACAAATATATTTTAAAGAGAAGACTTTAAATTTCCTGTTCACTTCATAGCAAACATTGTACATCATTTTGTACACCTCATGTGGGCGATCAGGAGAGGAAGGTGCGGGCCAGGATTTCAAGAAACAACAAAATCGTTGGGAAACATGAGAGTTCCGTTCTTTATTCGTCTATATAAATAATCGAACACAGTATAAATCTAATATTTACACCCGCGCGATGTATTAACGCAACGACGTCCTACGGCCGGTGATCCTCAGGCCGAGACATCCTTGCGTTAGTGACTCCCACGTACGAGACGATGAAGACAGACCGGCGAGATTAATGAAATCGTTCCTAAATGCGGCTTGGCTGCTCGACGATCGATTTACGACATCCATCACCCATTGGCAAATTCGTCATTCGCGATTTGACGCGCTGGTTGTGCACGCATTTGAAAAATTACTCTATATTTTCTGAAAGAGACCAAGCCGTCACGCTATGTCGAAGTCATGTTAAAGTGGATTCATAACTGCGGTGCGAACATCTGACATCGAATATGTATTAATATAGAGATATAAATATATATATATATATATATATTGAGCCACTGACAAGGTATTATTAATCTGTCACACTGGAACGTGTGCACTACGTCCCCTCTACAGAAAGCCGGTCGATCGTCGAGTCCATAGGCCGCAATGAATCTCTGAATGTGCGGACAATAAATTATGACGGAATGACAGAGGGAATATGTATGACGCGGCTTTGACTACGATATCGTGCGCTATATTATCGTGTACGACAGTGATTCGCGCGTAGCGTCGCGCCCTATCATTCATCAGCCTCTTTATCCATCGTACGTCCGATGTATGTCCGCTGGATCCGCTGTCTGTCTCTTTCAGAGCGTATCACCACGATCGACGCGAAGAGAAATAGATCAACGTGATCACATCGCTCTCACAATGATTCTGAAGAGTTGCATAATTAATCCGAGAGATGTGATCCGTCTTTTATTAATTCCTTCACGACAAGGGATCGTCTCCTCGCTGGTTGTAGGGTTCACCGAGCGCGCTGCGGGGAACGAATCGCGGGCAGAAGAGGTTCTTTGTAAACTCAAAAAGTCGGCGGACCGAGAATTAATTAATCGTGATTGACGGGCGCGCTCGGCAGCCTCCGGGAGCGCCGGGATAAGCGCTTCGAAGAGTATCGACCGACGTCCCCGTGTCGACATTGCACGCATCGATCGACGGATACCTCCCAGCGAATCCGGTGACTCGCGCGCTCCCGAAGAGACAGGCTTTTGCGAATCACTGCCGTACAAGACGGAAACGTGTGAGAAGCTTATGCTCCTACGACGGTGTCCGTCGTATGAATGTCCTCCAGCATCTGCGCCTCCTTCTCCTTCTCGTCCTGCTCCGACCCCGATATTACGTAGACCGGCTGTTGGCTGTAGGCGAGAAAGTGCTGGTCCATCGGTAACGCCTTCGTGTGATCCTTCATCTTCATCTGCAATATGGATCTTTTAATTTCGGTGTCAATCACGATTCACGGGTTCGTTTGATAACAAATATTCAGAGCCAAATACAGCTACTTGATTGTCGATTTTTCGACGGATCACGTGTAAAAAGCAGTGTTGCGATAACTTGCGGCAATTTGAAATACTGACAGATATCGTTAACATAGGAAATGATAAATCAATTATTGATAGATAAAAAATCATTAGTAAATAAATAATTAATAATCAATTATTAATAATAAATTAATCGATAAATGTTGATGAAAAATTATTAATAAATAAATTATTAGTGAAAAATCATTAATATAGAATATTCTCACAGAGCGGAGCAGTGCAGCGTTTTAGCGTTAAACATGGGTTACAAATGCGTGTTCAACGGATTCCAGTTGGCACGAGGGAGCTTTACGACGGTCGTCACGGATTCCCACGTACCTTCTTGCGATACAGCATCAGCAGAATGACGAGGCTGCTGATAACGAAGGCGCTCCCAGCCGCGAGCACGAGCGTCGCCGTTTGATAAACCGGCGTCTCCACCTGGGTGAGAATCTCGCGCTGCTCCAGCGCGACGATTCTGCTCTGCATCGCCACGGGAGCGGAGCGATGCGTGAAGCGCGAGGTGGTCGCGTCTGCGGACGAGCCCAGCATGGACAGCTTCTGGATACGCGTGAGTTCCTCCAGGTGGAACGCCACGTCCACCTTGTTCGCGCCGACAATCTCGAAGCTCAGGATCGCCGAGTCCTGGTTGATCTCCACCCGCACGCCCTTCTTCAGCCTCGCTCCGAGCTCTTGCAGCAGGTTCTCGGCTTCCTTCACGAATCGCGTCTCGTCCGTAGCGAGAAATCGACCGGGGAAACGCAGAGTCACCTCCACCGCTTCGACTGGTGTTGGAACTGAAACGGAACGAAATATGGATGCGTATCGATGCTGGAAAATTGTCCCGTCAGGGATGTTCGAAATCAAACGTTCTCATCAAATTACAAATCCATATAATGAAAAGCAGATTATTTAACCGGTTACAACTAATTTAACTCCAGGAAATTTCAATACCCGATGATCTCGCAAATTTGAATATTAATGTGTACATTTTCAAGTTAAAGTTTCGTTAAAAATATATATTCGATCGTTTGTGAGGAGCAACGGACGTGCTAAAGAAAATGAACGGAAAGTCGCTCCGGGTGACTCACGGCAAATGCTCGTTCCCTTCAGGAACGGTTCCGAGCCGATGAGCTGATTGCCCGCCTCGTCGACGCACCAGCAAGTGTCGCCGGCGCACTGCATGGGCTCGAATCTGCCCTGCGGGTCGCATATCGCCGGCACGTGGCCCTTCTCCTTCATCGCTTGGCACCTGGTGCCCAAGATCCTGTCCGCTCGCCGCTCGTCCGTCGTCTCCAAGCTCAACAAAGCGTCCTCCATGATCGCCTGGATTTCCCGGTCGATCTCCTGCGGCTGCTGGCCCCGACCGCCCCGTCTGGCCTGCCGGAAATTGCACTTGGGCTCGGCGCCCCTGGTGAGCGAACCCTTCACCGGCTGGCCTTTCCGGTTCACGCACCAGCAGACCCCGACGTGCTCCAGACACTGCACCGGCTCCCACGTGCCGCTGTCCGGGTTGCACTTGGGCAGGAAGGTCGGTCGTCTCAGCCTCTGCGACCTCTTCAGGTTCTTCTCGCGCAGTCTCTCGCACTGCGACAGCACCGGGCATACGGTGTCGCAGACGAGCCGGCTGGCGAAATCGTTGTGGCCGACGGTGCACTCGTGCTTTCGCCGGCACTCGTTGCGCTCCGGGTCGAAGTACCACCTCTCAGTCTCGTTGAAGCCGGATGCGTTCGGATTGCAGGCCACCCGCCTGGGTGGCTCGAAGCACACGTCCCGCGGCTTTGGGCAGCAGACTGCGTACTCGTCTAGCGGCGACAGCTCGCACTTGTGCGTCGACGGGCAATGATGGCCGTGCGGGCCGCAGGTGGCCACTGTGCCGTCCGAGTCGATCAACGGCGAACCGTTCGGACACGGATTGTCCTTCTTCGGCAGGCAGACCGGCACAGGCGGGCAAGGAGGCGCGCTGCACGCTACCTCCACCATCCTGCAGGCCTCGTTCTCGCCGCGGCACGTGACACTCCGGCACGGGTCTCGGCATGAGCAGGTCGGACAGCCGGTGTCCGGGTCCGGCTCGTAGCCATCCGCGCAGTCGAGCTTGCAGCCGATCTCCGGGCAGCTGAGCGGCGTGTTGCAGCGCGGCACGATACCCTCGATCACTCGCGTGCCCGCCGCCTCTTTGCCCTCTTCGTCGACGCACCAGCACACGCCGTTGTGGCACTGCACCGGCTCGAACGCGCCGTTCGCCTCGCACCTGGGTATGTAGATCCTGCGAGCGGGCTCGCCGGACTCGCGAGCCGCGTGCTCGGCGACCGCGCGAGCGTGTTGACAGGCCGTGGCCATCACCGGCGAGACGCACTGCGTGCCGCAGCCGGTCGAGCAGCACTTGTCGCCGGACGGGCACTCCTGGTCGTTGCTGCATTGCAGCTCGCAGCTCGACGAGCTCGGCACGAGGTACGGACATTGGCCCGGCTTCGTCGTCAAGCAGGCGGGCACGGCCGGGCAGTACTGATCCTGGCCGCAGTTCACGTCGATCATCGTGCACGTCTCGTGGGTGCTGCAGCTGACGTCGCGACACGGCTCGTGGCAGCGGCATTGCTCGCAGCCGGCCGTATCCAGCTCGTAGCCGTACGGGCAGATCAGGTTGCAGTACAAACGTTGGCAGCTCCTCGAGAGCTTCTCCACCGTGCCGCTGCAGTCCGCCGTGGTGGGCTCCAGCCCGGTCTTCAGGATCACGCCGCGGTGGTTCACGCAGCTGCAACTGCCGTTCTGACACTGCAGGGCTCGGTAGCTGCCGTCCGGCTCGCACTGGGGCGCCGGGACCGCCAGCGACATACCCTCCCGCGTGCCCTCCATGCGATCGTTGAAGTCCCGTAGGTACTCGCACACTGTGTACATTCGCAAAACTATTATTCGACGGAAGTGCTCGGTTGACACAAGAGTCGATGGTTGGTTATCTGTGTAGAGCATTTTGCTAACCTGCTGATAACTTGAGTTTTATTATCATCGTTGACATTTGATTGTTCGACCGTTGTATTACGGTCAAGACTTACTAGTGGGTGCTTTCGTAGGGCTTGACGTTGCCATGCAGCACACCGATTGGCCGGCTTCCGGCACCATCGTGCACTTGTAGCCGTCGGGGCAAGTCTCGTTCGAGGCGCAAGTCGCGGCGTTCCCGTCCTGATCAATTAGCGGCGTGCCGGGCAGGCAGGGGCTCTTGTAAGTTTTCTTGGATTTACATTCCGGTTTCGTCGGGCATAGAAAATCGGGACAGCCATCCTCGCGCTTCAGGACGCACTCCTGCCCTTCCGGGCAAGGGAATCTGCAAAAATGATCGTCTGATCACTGAAGACCGATGAGTTTCTTGCATAATCCGATTGTGCGAAATTAAAATTACAATTCATCCGTAGGAAAGAGGATGAGAATATCGTCGAGAAGTTCTATTCGTTCTTGATAGAGAGAACTCGTGTTGCGACACAAAGGAAACAGAATATCAGCTTCGGTTCTGCGCTGTTCAGTTTTATTTTTTAAAAGTAGTTTCATCGACATCGCCGTACTACGATATACCTACCCCTCGCACGGGTCGTCGCATTCGCAAGTCGGGCAACCGGAAACATCCGTTCTGAAGCCGTATTGGCAGACTTGGGCGCACTGTTGAGGCGTGCAAGACGCTGGAAGCGAGCGCGCCTTGATTATCGATTTACAGTCGATCTTCTCGGCGGGGCCCATTGAACCGGATATCTTTCTACCCTTGTCATCCACGCACCAGCAAACGAGGCCGTTTCTCGAGCACTGCCTTGTCTCGTAATCCCCATCTGCTCAAATCAATTCGTATTTACGAGTCGCTTTCCCACCCGAGCGATTAAACGAATTAACAAAGCGATACTACTGGAAGCTCGGGCATAAAATACGAGCGTGCTTGGGACACGATGACATTGAAATTAATTAAAATTAAATTAATTTAATAAAATAATCCATCATTGAGCAGAATTAAAATGAGTAAAATTAATTAAAATTAATTATAAGTCGAAATAAGTAAAAATATATAAACGCGAGCGCGTGAGTTCTCGGGAGCATCTTACTCACCCTCCGTGCACTGGGGAACGTAGCCGCGACCTTCACGCTCGGAGACGCTGAGCATCTCCGCGAGCACGCGGTCCCGGTGGCACACGCTGAGGCCACGTGGTATCGCGCACACGTTACCGCCGCAGCGTTCGCTGTTGCAACATTTCTGCGGGCTGGGGCACTCCAGGTCGTAGCGGCAAGTGGACCCGCACTCCGTCGTCGTATTCGGATCGTCCACGGGACACTCCCCGACCCGCTGCAGCCCTACATTCGATGGACAGCACACCCCGTACTCCTGCTTGGGCTCGACCAGGCAGCTGTACATCGGCGGGCAAGTCGGCTTGCCGGGTCTGTCGCCGCAGAGGAACGGCCGCGGCGAGTCCGTGATCTGCAGCGGCTCGCCCACCGGGCAGATCGTCAGCAGGGACTTCGCCTTACGGCAGCTGGGCACCGGCGGACACGGAGGCCGCGTGCAGCTCACGTCGATCAGTTCGCACGCTTGACCTATGCCCGGACAGGTGACACCGCGACAAGGGTCGCGGCATTCACACTTGGGACAGCCCGTGTTCTCATTGATCTGCAACAACGGCAACGATAAGTCTGTCGGCCTCGCGGGGAAAGTGACCACGATGCGGAAACTATCGTTGATCGAATTTTGGAATAGGAGATCGGGACGAGAAATCGCACGGATTGCTTGCCGAGAAATTTATATTTCAGTGGATAAATAAAAGGCGCATATTGTTCTCTGCGGATTGCTGGTATCGTTGGTTGGTTGGGTGTATGAAATAGCTCGTGACTAACACGCATTGTGTGCATTTATGAACACGTTTTTTTAACTAGACACGGTGAGTAAATTTTTTCCCGTCTTTATTTTCGTTGTTTCGTTGCTTTCAAAATTACTGGTTGCAATTTCCCTCCGGTATTCATAAAAAATATTGTACTTTCAGTTGATTTTTCCTGGATTCAGTTATAACCGTTATCGCACAGCTGTATTTCCACGTTTCTTCAGTGAAATATAATTGTAAAATATATAGTTTCTTTTATATTCAAAATTACCGTTCGGGGTAAGTGACGGCTGGGACGTGGCTTATGCATGTGCAGATAAACGTACACATAGATCACCGAATCTCGTTAGTGATCGAGTTATCGGGTTGGATTAAGAAGTTATATTCATAGATGTAAAGATTTTAATTGTATTTTCGGTTATCATGGCTCGAAAGCGCGGCTGAAAAACAGATGGAGATAAGATTGCACCTTGATTATGTGATATATTATTAACTTTAATAAAATATTAAAGAAGCGTTGAAACTGTATCATCTTGTTTCTTCATAAAACGACATGTGACAACCTTGTTCCAATTCGCACAAAATTGTTTTCAATTTAACCCTTTTGTAGTTTTCGAGTTTGACCCGAAATCATTTTTATTTTCCTGTTACATTATGCGATTTTACGTAATTTGAATGATTCTGACATTCCTTTGTTTCATAGCCCAAGGACATTAATTTGAAACTAGGCTATGAAACGAAATCATGAAATGCCGGAATATTCATTCACCGCATAAAAATGTAACAGGAAAATAAAAATGATTTCAGAATAGACCCGAATAGACCCGAAGGCTACAGAAGGGTTAATAACTTTTTCATGCATGAATAAATATAAAGCTACTATTTTTGTTTTAACTAGACGTTGCAGCCACATGAAAATATATACAATATTGTAAAACATCGTATAAACTTTTTTATTTTAATTCGAACGTAATAAACGTGGCCTCTTTATGCCCCGATCTCCTCTAATCGTGAAACCGTCGACGAGCAAAAAGTCAAGGAGAAAAAAGGCGTTTAAGGGAAATCTTTTCGAAGATCGAAAAAATTAAAACAAAAGTATCAAGATTAAAAAAAAATTAAGATAAAAGTATCAAGAAGGAAAGACGCCGAGCTTCACGTGTTCCAGATTTCACCAAAGTTCGCTACGGGCCGAGAGGAAGTTTACTCGGAGTCGACGCTTCTTTTCCTCCGGAAATGACTGGAGGATACGCTTTAGAGCCGTTCCGGAGAAGATGCTCGTTCACATTTACTCAAGTACCTCGAATCCCAAAGGACAGAACATGCGGCAGCTGTGAGCCGGGCAGGCGCGCGGCTTGTCGCAGTTGACGGCCGTCTTGCTGGGCGCCCTGGTGCCGGGGATCTCGATACCGAGGTCGTTGACACACCAGCAACTGCGCCCCTGTGGTTCGCACTGCACCCTCTCGAACTCGCCGGTCTCATTGTTACATCGCGGTACGAATTGCGGTGGGCCGCGGGCGAGTGCCCGCGACCGTCTGACGGCCGCCAACGCCAACTGCTCGCAGCCGGTCAGCTCGCCGATGACGCAGCGAAGACCGCACGCGGTCGCGCAACAGCGTTCCTCCGGCGCACCTTGGCACTGGAAGTCATTCTCGCAACCCGGAGACCTGGACGGACAGACGCTCTGCTCGACGAAGGAGGGACATCGACCGACGGCCCGCAGCGACGGCTCTGTGAACATGCAAATCGCAAATTGACCTCAGAGACGGCACTCTTTCGTTCTTCGTTTTTCCAGCCGTCGCTGGAACGAAACCTGAAACACCCCGTGTAACGTTACGTCCGATGCTCTTATCGAACGCGTCTGTTCGCGGGGGAAAATAATTCAGAGACGGCAAATCTTACGCTGTCGTATACACAGAAAAACAAATTTTTATTACTCCAAGATTCGTATTCTCATACATGTATGAGCAAAGATATTTAATTTTATACGAAGATAAAATTTGCCTACATGGAGAAATTCTACGTAGTTCCACCGGAAATATCATATTCCTGTTAGTCGAAAATAATATTCACGAATTGAGAGGAAAAAATATTGGATGGGAAGAACAATACATTCAAACCAAGAATTTGCATCAATTTGAAGATGTTCTTTCTGCCCAATATTTTTTCTTTCAATACATGAAAATTATTCTTGAATAACGGAAATACGATATGTTTAATAGAACTATGTAAAATTTCTTCATATTCGTAAGCAAATTTTATCTTCACGTCAGATGATATTCTTGTTTATATGTGAATGCGAGTCTCGAATTGATATTAATTTTTTTCTGTGTAGTAAATAAATAAATATACCGGACATTTTTGTAGTATCGTTTAATATTCTAAAAGCTTATTTTTGCGGTAATTTTACGAAGAAACAAACACATGTTCGTATGATGAGATTTTCTTCATAAAATGACCTGAAAAATCAATTTTATTGTGAAACGTTGAACAGTATTCAAGCAACATTCTATTTTCGTTTATTCGCTCTACGACAGCATAAAATTTTTCGTCTGAAATATTTTCCTCCGTGTTTCGCGCGCGCTAAGGGCGATGAACGCCGAGATTTTTAATATCTCTCTCGCATTCCGACAATATCGGGAACTCTATTTCGGGCGTATCAAAATGCTAACACGTGTCTTTCTGATTTCCAAGCTGAAACAATACGACGCTCGTACCGTGGAATTAAAAAAGTATATTTAGCGTTCGTTATGCGTCCAGAATAGGTCGAGTTGCGAGCGCTCGTTTACTCGTCGACGTCCGCACAAAGAGAATCGATAAACTGTCTCTAAGTAGGAACTACTAAAAATGGCGAACATACGCTACGGATTAATCCACACTGCGAGATGCTTTGTGTGAAAATATATTCGAAGAGTTCTACATGAGAGTATGAATTTGAGGAAAGAAATCCGGAGATCGGAGAAGAGCAGAAGGAGGAGGAGGAGGAGAGAAGAACGGCTCGACCCGTACATTCAATCGCACATGTCTATTCATAAATCCGAGTGTAGAGCCCGGCTTTGGTAGCGACAGATTTTTTTTTTTCATGCAGGAACGAAGCAGCGAGTTCATATAATTCTCCAGATCCATTTGCGACATGAATTCCCGCTTGCGGTAAATCTTTTATATCGGCCGGTTAGTTGGCGCTATTAGTTAATTTCGCGCAAACTCCATTTTTCACCTGTAATCGTTAATTTAAATCGCGCGTTCGCCTCTCTCGAGTCGCGGTCTCGGCGAATAATCGCGACGAGCTACATCGACATCGCATTGGTTAGAGGACGACGACGACTCGTGGATTAATGAGCTGCGAGTCGCGCGCGCTTAATAGGTCATCGCGAAATAAGGTGCTTTCTCGCACGGCCGAGGCGGCATTTTTGAACACGTTCTCGGACTAAAGTGTAGCACGACGACGACGACGACGACGATAATAATAATAATAATAATAAAAATAGCCAGAGTCGACCTAACGGTTCCTTGGCATCCTACTGCCACACTTACTATACTTACCTAACGTGCTAGCGTGAGCGCGTTTCCAGGCGGCCACGAACGCCTCGGGCACGGACACTCGGCCGCACGGAAAAAAGCACGCGCCCAAATGGGATGGACAAACGAGAAAGGCGTTTCTCGACGGGAAAACGGACTGGTGTAAGTTCGGAGAAAAAAGAAGAAAATGCTGGAAACGCAAAGGCCGAGTGACGATCAATGGACGTTTTTCATACGCGCCCACCAAAGGTGTCCGAATTTGCGACTCCGATCGCTTCGGGATCGGAGACGCACCGGCGGGGAATTTCCACAAAGAAGAAATTTCCTTCCGTCAAACTTGTCTCTTGTCTCCGTTCTTCGGCTAATGGTAAATTTATCGACGCAAGCGTAATGAAATATACGGACAAAGTTACATCGTCGTATCACGCTGTGTAATCGTATTACACGATCGAATGAACCGACCTCTCCTAAAAAAGCGGTGTCTTGGCGCGGAGCGAGAATTTTGAAGTCAAATTTGCAAGGTAAAAACTTTTACGTTAGATGTAACACACTTCACACGTCCCAAATAGTCCACACATATTTTTGTGTTAATTTCACGCAAGGTGAATATGTTATAAGGTAACACAAATATTATGTCGAAAATGAACACAGAACTAACACGTATATAATGTTATTTTAACACTTACATGTGTTGAATATCGACTCAGCACAGAATATGCATTGAGATAACAAATACGTTAAATTAACACACCTTAAATTAACACACAGGCACGTTAAGAATTTAACACAAAAATTCTAACAAAGGCAGACTTCAACACAAGTACAAAATGTTTTCTACCGTATGGGAAGGATAATATCTCAGATCGGGGGGAGAAATATATGTTTCTTTTTAATTTCCTCTCTCCGTGTGTGCCACGAAAGATCGCGGGGCGTAATTCTCCTTGCAACTAGTTCGTAATTTTCTTTGTAACTAGGAGTTCGGCTGTTATGCAAATTTATGCGTGACTACGCGAGTTCACTCCGTGCGTGCGTTCCGTTACATGGCACATATTAATACCGACAACGGTGATGCACGCTTGCGTGACAAAGAGGAAGAAAGTGCCGGACACACACGAAAAGAAAATCCGCTCGAGCGGATATCCCATTTAGGTGCCCTCGGCGAAAGTACCGCAGAGTGCGACGCACTAACGACGCGCGACTAGCGCGAGTGCCGCGTCGCGTGTCAATCGGCCGTTTGCCGCGCCGCGTCGTCACGTTTTCACGCCGTTAGCGAATTTCATAAAAGTCCAGTGAAACTCAAGCGGCGCCGCGCATCCGATTACCCGAATTTCCGGCTCGCCGACTCGCGGAATCCCGCCTTTCGCGCTTATTTATCCAGCCCATATTCGATAACGAGCTGCGAATTCGCGATGAGATTCGCAACGAAATACCATGTATTGTGTGTCTCACATGTAGTTGATCAATTAATCATAACACATCAATTACATATAATAGATAGAACAAATAATAATTAATATTAATCGCATGATATTATCATATTATGTATATTTTAACACGCATATAAAAGAGAGAAATACATATGCGTATGTATATATAGTGTTTTTTAATTAACGCTTATTATTTACACAGCGTGATTCTTCGTGAAAATCTGAATTGAAAAATGCCGAGCGAAAACGAGCGAGACGTCTCAATAATTTCCAAGATACGCGATTGAAAAACAAGGCTTTTCGCAAACTATGCTTCGAGCGACCGAGCGGATAACGAATCTATCTTCTCCAATTAATTTCAAGTTGATTTTATTTTAACAGAATTTTACTTTATGACTTAGATATAAAGATATGTTGAAAGTTGGAAAGTTGCCATAAATAATGGACCTTTCACGAGAAAATAGCTCGGGACTTTTTGATTCTATTTTTCACGAGAAATAACGCTGTGCACATAGCGGCCGTTAATTAGGAAACACCCTGTATAAACTGTGTAATATAGGAAACATCCTGAAGCGCCTCGCGCCCTTTCTCTAAATTTCGATAAGCGTACAAACAGGATTTAATGTGTCGCATCGCTGAGCCATCGCGCGTTTCTCGATATAATTCTCGATATAAACTCTAAAGGAGATGTAAAGAGGGAACGAGGAAGAAACAGAGAAAGAGGAGGAGGAGAGAGAGAGAGAGAGAGAGAGAAAGGTAGCATGTGGGCGCACGATGATGAGGGGCAAAGGTGCGGGGATGCCTTTTAACGGTGAGTGGGAGAAATTCAATTTGTTATTGCCGGTGGCATGCAAATCGGGCTGTCCTCGATATTTACTGAAAAGTCCATCCCGCGTATCCTGCTGTAACACATATCGGGAATCGATTGCCGGATCGAATCCGTAGTCCCTAACCGGCAATCTCGCGGCGCGATTACCGGCTTCGTTAGGTGCGCTATTTAATCCGCCGATTAGAATATACGTATACGCACGTTGCAGTGATACACTCGTCGGACGTAACACACACACGCACATGTATATATGCACGCGCAATCGGCCGCGTGTGTACACGTGGATAGCGATAAACAGAGAATCGCACGTGCGATTCGCACATTATCAGTCACTCGTGTGCACGCGAAAGCCGTAACGGCACGATTATCGAAAGAGAACGGCTATTGAAACCGATATCATTCCGGGCACAGATTCCGATGTTACACGGGGATTTCTATCTCACATTTTCTCACATTAATAACCCGGACAATTGAATATCGGCTGTTCTACCGGGCGATGAAACTCGCGCGACAGAGAGAAGGACTCTCGCGCCGTGTAACCAGCATTCAAAGTTCCTCGGAGGAAAATCACGCGCGCGCCGATCAAACGTCCGCTGTAACAGCGCGTACAACGAGACGGAGCATTATATAGTTTTCCAGCTCTCATACGAGGAAAGGTGGAACGCGGATAACGAAGGCGTCGTGTACTCGTCGACCGTTCGGAATGACGAAATTACGATCGCCGTGCGTACCTGCGCGTACAGGATAACGCGAATTTAGCGGAGCGTTACCGACGCGAGCGGCCCGGCTGAATTCAGATTTTACGAGCGCGTCCCGTAATACCTAATTTTACACGCGTTCAAACGGTCGTTTCTGCAGGGTCGTTTTCTGCCAAGGCGGAAGAAATTGCACGCCCGTCCCCGCGACGTCGGCCCGCAGGAAATTCACCGTCGAGCGAGCCCTCGGGAACAAAATCCTTAAATTCCCCTCGGGGAACATACGTCGCGGACACATGTGCGGTTCGCGCAACATCAAGGACGAATCACGGCGCACACGTTCGACTTCCGAAATCCGCTCACGTCCGGCGCGCATTATATGCAGATGCACGTCCGCGAATGAGAGAGAGAGAGAGAGAGTTAGCTTTCCTTTTTCCGCGCGGACCTTCGAACTCTTCAAGACTCTCTCTGCGTGGTGCCATGTCTCGTCGGGCGCGACTCCGCCGAGACACTCGCGGCCGCCCGGATCAACTTCAGCGCGGACGCGACGGGGTAGACTGTACCGATAATTGAAGCGCCCGGAGCGATATATATCGGAAGCAGATTAACTCGAGAAATTAAGAATGAGACCAGTTGCGCGCTCGTGAACGCGCCTCGCCGAGTCGGCGATGCACGACGACGGAACGTCCTGGGTGGAAAAAGGAAAAAAAAAAAGATTTTATCAGAGCTCAACGTTCGAGCGTTTATTCGCGTCGCGTGGGACGCGGAGACAGAAATATCAATCCACTTTCGATAAACGGGTCGCTCGGCGCTGCAGGAAAAAGCGGTCGATCCACTTCGGCTTCCATAATTTTAGGCTTGATTTATTCTGACTACTGCATGCGTGTGTATGTACATGTGGTCGCTCTCGCCGTACGAGTTAAAGTAGTTAGTCCGCCAAGCTTGTTATATTAGGAATCCTTTAATATTTTAGCTGTATATTGGTAGAAATAGTATCCACACGTCTGTAAAGTTGGAAAATAATTCGGAAACTGAGATATTCCCAACTGAAAATGATACAATTTTATACATGTTCCTTTAGAAATTGATGTCTTATTTGTAACTTCTATTTCTAGTTTCTCCTAAACCACATTTAGAATTTTAATGAAAAGTTACTGTGAAAGGACTAATGTAGATACATATAAAAATTTCTGAAGTTTTGCAAAGGTGGCCAGCCATCTTGACTCACATTTTTCCGCCATTCGCATTTCTGTTGCGAGCGAGGAGGCGGTTTTATCGGGGGGGGATGTCCTGTTATGATTAAAACGAGCCGTGTGTAATCGCTCGCGTTTACACCGCTCGTTTTATCAGGCGTGCGACGCGCAGTCGAACAATCGTCACCACCAGCGGCGAAGAAGCGGCCACCCGATGTAACCGGAGAAAACGTCCTCTCGTAAAACCATCGTCTTAACTCCTCCGGTCTACCCAAGTGTCTCGAGTCCACTTCATTCTCGGCGCCTCAATTCCGAACGGAACAAAGGCGTTACGCGGAGTCGCGTCGTCGTCGTCGTCGATGCCGCCGACGAGTGAGTGATAAAACGTCCGAGAATAGCGAAGGGGAAGAAAAGGAAAGGGGAAAAGAAAGAAAAACGGATGACGTACCTGCGGCGGTGACCGATGATGACAGCGAGAGGACGAGCAGGCAAGTCGACGACACCCACACAACAACGGCGCAGGCAAGCCCACCGTTGCAAAAATCACGGCGCATCCTCAGCGCATCAAGTAATTTTTGAGCCGGCCGCTAGATCTGCAATTACAATTCACGGCGCACAATTAGCGATTGATAGCAGCGGCGCCCGCTGGCGAACAACAATCGACGGCCGCGCTAATTACAGGGGAAAGGGGCTCTCACCGGGAGCCGGTAACGTGCGTCGTAACGTCGTATCTTTTTTGCAGGACGCGAAAGAGCGCGGGAGGAAACAACTCGGAGGTGGCTCGACCTTTGCTTTGACACGACGAGCGAGATCTCTTAACAAGCCAAGCGGTTTGCAAATACAGCACCGTCGTCGGGCGTCCCTTCTCGGAGGTGTGCCGCCTTCTTCACAGTACAGTATCGCCCATGGAGTATTCTTCGCGCGTTTCTTTCGCGGCCCGACCGAGCTCTCCCCTTTAAGCGGAGGAATAACAATGGGAGTTATGTCTCCTTATTCGTTATGCCGTAGGGAATATTCTAATGCGCCCTCCTACGTTATTCATGAGCCGAAGTCGGCTTTAGATCTACGAATTGTCAGACCGTTTTTCGCTTTTTTTCTCCGGTCTCCCTTTTGTGCCACGTCTCGTTACAGGCTCCCGACACGCCGGCTTTTTCTCATCGCCGATTATCCGGCCGCGCCCATCGTCATCATCATCGTCGCGCGACGACGTTCCCCGGCGACGTTCGTGATTAGAAGCGAGAGAGAAGATTGTCTCGTCCGAGAGATAGTCGGAGACTCGCGTAATGCGGAATCGTGTCGATCGTGACTGATTATGACGTATTATAATCGTGCGCGACGCTGAAATTGGATTAATACGCAAATGAAGATACATCATCGTCATCGCTAACAATGTTGCCGATACGAAAATCAAAAGGAAAGAGAAGGAAATAGGGCGCAAAAATCAACGTGTGTTTCTCGGCGAGGGAAAACGGCGACGATCGGTGTAATCGATGTCGGCGGGGGTCGAGAGAGAGAGAGATAAATATATATATATATATATATATATATATATATTTCCGGTGCAATATTTCTCGCAACATAATACATATTTCAAGCGTTATTTTCTGGTCGTTCAATCCTCAGGATGCAAAGAGTCTTCCTTCTCGCCGAGGTGCTCTATAATGCACCTTACTTCGTGATTCATACGGCAATGGCGGGGCTGTTCGACGGCGAAATTACCGACGACGGCGATGGCGGCGACGGCGGTTACATCCTTTGGGAAGCCTTCGAATTTAGGGTGTAGTCCGCGACATGAATAATGCAACGATAGGGACGGCCATAACGCCGCGCCGCGCCGGTGCCGTGCATGATGCTAATTACACGGAGCAATCGCGCCGAGATTACGCTTATTGTCATTAGCCTGTTGTCGGCTGTCAGGCGAAACGTGATTTCTGCGTGTCGCGATTGCGTGTCCGATGACGAACCTCGCCGGCTGAGTTTCTCCGTTTCGCGGATTACCGCGGGATCTTCGCACTCCCGCGGACGGACCGAAAACGAAGTCCGCGAAAAAGACACTTCTTAATATTACGTACAGTTGTCTAATTGAGAACGTACACAAGTATGGATACACGAAGAGAAACGGTTACTTTTAACCTTGACGAATGAAAATACTGCCGTGTCGGGTCGAGCCGACCCGAATAAAAAACAGCGATTGCGCGGCCGAGTTTTCGCCAATATTCATCCACGTTTCATTTAACTTACATACGCGGTACTTTAATCATCCGTAGGTAAATATAGGAACGATGAGTAAGCGTACGATGGGAATGTTAATCCGATGAATAAATAAAAAGAGACAAAAACGGAAATAAATTCGCGCGTTTTAATTTGGAGAATACACAGAGATGATCGGGTTACAATCGCGGGAAATGAATGCGACCGAGAAAGAGAGAGAAAGAGAGAGAGAGAGAGAGAGCAATCCGCTTTTTCATAAACTCGGGACAGAGAGAACCAGGCATAAACGTGATTGCCCATTTTTGCAGATTAATCCGACGAAAAAATAAAAAGAATAAAAAAAAATTACGGACGAACTTACGAAGCTGCGAAAAAGTGGGTTACATCGCTATCGCGTTAAGCCCTTCGGTTGTAGCTGCGAGACTTTCTAGCGACTACGAGAGCTGGCAGAGAAAGTCGAAGCGCGCGCCACGAGGATGGAAGTGATCGGTAATTTCTTAATATAAAATTCCAGCTCGCATTGTGTCGCGCGTGAAAGCGTCGGAATGACGCGAGAGGACGCGAGGGGGGTCCGTTGCGAGTATTATCCGCGCAACGGAATGATAATTTCGCGTCGATCGGATCGAGCGCTAATGAGCGCGAACTTCATCAGGCTGGAAAGTATGTTGCGTGCGGCGCTTTTGCGAAATCAACGTCCGGAGCCTCGAGGGATAACGATTCATAAATCTCTCCTCGCGCCGATGGTCTCTCTACTCGCTGAGTTTCTACTCGATCTTACGGAATCTCACGGACGCGATCGGGCAACTACGGGGCCATATAAGTCGCGGCACCGTCTACTCTCTCACGGTTGGCTCACCGGATGTGGGTCACTCGCCGTCATCGGAGGTTCCTTCCGGGTCTCAGTGTCGGCGGAGCGTCCCTGTAACTTTCTATCGTCGCGGCGCCTCGTGTGGATTCCCGAACGCGTCATCACCGTCGGTACACTTTCATGAGGATCGGAGAGGAGAAAAAGAAGAAGCGGGAGGGCAGGTGGGAAATCGGCGCGCGCGTCACTTCCGAGGGAAAGAATCTCACCCTGAGAGATTCCTCAAGTTAGTCTCATGAATGGCAGACGTAGTCGAACGGGTTCTTATTATTGTCACGCGATTGCGAGAGATCGGATGATATTCGGCCGCGTGCTCGTCGCCGTCGACTGAACTTTCCCCCTGCAGAAACTGAACACGAAGGTGAAGGGAAGCTGAAGCGGCTCAGCTAAAGGGACAGGTGTGCATATGAGAACAAGGAGCGAGAAGACAAAGTCGAACGCGCGCCGGATCTACCGAAGAAGAGTGGGCCGCGAACGGCGCGATCGCGCCAGCAGATCATCGCCTTCCCTCGTACATTCTTCGCGGATAATAAGTGGCACGGTCGTATAATACGCATAAACGCTACCGCAGCGGCGTGGCGACAATGTCGGCGGAGACGTAACGTTCGCCGAGCGCGCGTTCCACTATCGAGAGATACGTATACCGGTTGTCACGGTGCTTGACTTAATTTCCGGGCCTGGCTCGTTAACCGTACCGCGAAGCCTCGCTCGTGTCTCCGCCAGTGTGGAATTCGACCGGACCGATTTCTGTGAAATGTAAATATTCGAAACCGGTCTCTCCGAGACCGATCGATCGGTCGACCCCCGACACGGTCGTTATTAATTAATAATAATAATAAATATTTATTTACAGGGATGTATAAAAATTCTTTAGTTTACAATATTGATTTATCGCAGGATTGAAACAGACAATAATCGTCTCTTTCACAACACAGAACGCAATGTGGTCTTAATTTTATTACCGGCAGGTGTTACATATATCAGCGAACGTATCTCCTGACCGCGTTGATTTCTTTTATATGGCACTCCACTGGAAAATTTAAACGTTCCGTATATGATATAAATTTATTGATCGATTAAATTAATAATAGGAAAGACGTAAGGTATATTATACAATTGCACGTATTATGGAATGTTTGAATTTCCAGTGCCATAAAAAGAAATCAACACGGTCAGAAAATTTATTCGCTGCTATACATAACCTGTTGGCGATAAAATTAAGACGATATTTCGTTTTATGTTGTGCAACGTGAAAAAGAGAACAACGATTTAATGTTCTGGATAGTATAACAGGTTGCATGTACTCTAATGTAACTGAACAGTCAATATGTATATTAAAAATGTTATATATAAAGATGAAGTAACGTATCAACCTTCCGCTGTTCAAGGATGATAAATTCAGTCGTGAAAAAATATATTGATATTCATGACACGCGAACGACATTGACCCGCCCAGACAATAGCTGGCTAAACGCAGGAATTTACGGTCCCGGTCTGAGCTGAATTAATACGTCCAATTAGAATCCGAAGAAAAATGAGATCCACTTCTGCGTCACCACAACACGAAGAGAGTCAAGAGAGAAAGATACTCCTTCCTTTTTTCTCTTTCTTGCCGGATCGTTTGCTCTCCCGAGGAAGCTCGATAAATTCGCCCGTCATATCCCCTCCTCCCGAATAATATCTTCGCTGTAGCTACGCGATCCTACCCGGATGATAATAGTTTCGACGTTTCATGCCGGAAATTGCGCACTCGAGCGCAGAGTGCACCTGGCCGAAGGCTGGCACAGCGACCCGGAAACAGTTACGCGCGGAAGTTATCCCGGGCTTGCTTTGTCTTCTTAATGTGTGTGTATGTCTGTGTGTGTGTCTGTGTATGACACAGGCGCGTTTCCTTCGTTCTATTAAAGTGTCGTCGTACGTGCAATTGTAAATTACTTACACGCGCACGCATGCGCGCGCGAGTGTCTTCTTTCGCCACTTTGTACCGTCGCACCGTATTATTATCGTTACCTCTCCTTGATGTTGAACGAATTATTCGGCGCGTTTCGCAAGACCGTGCGCGCCGGTGAAATTGTTAAATCCACGCACGTCCGCCGCGCTTACATCTTTGACGTGAGCCTCCTGCTCGAAGAGGTACTGCAACATTTACGTCTGACAAATGGAGATGGGATAGAGCGGTGTGTCTCGTAAACTTCCACGGAACACGGAATTTCCGTGCGATATTCTTATTTCACGCGCGCGCGCGGAACGTTCGCTCGCTCGCTCGCTCCTTTCGCAATAATTTACGATCGCGCTCGGCGATACCTCGCGCTGTTTGCCGCGTACACTATTTTCCTCTTCTTTTCCCCTACCCCCCTCTCGTTTTCGTTTTTTGCAGCTCTCTTCGGAAGGATCGCGCACTCACGACGCGGCTGGTATACCCAACGGTGAACGGTGGAATTTGTATCGCCATTATAATGCATATTTGCGCCCGCGCGATGTTCCCCGACCACTGGAAATTTCGCGTGGATTTATGGC